ATTCAATAAAGGCCAAACCTCAGATAAGGGTAACTTTCATTTAAAGACTGTGGTTTCTGCTTCTGGGCCCTCCACAATCAATGTACTACCAGAAACCAAGCTGACAGTATACAAACCTCAGACACGGAAACGCTTAAGGGTTAAAGAAAACACTAATGTCAAAAATGGCACTCGGGCTGGGCACGGTGGCTCACGCCTATAATCCCAGCACTTTGGGAGGCCGAGGCGGGTGGATCACGAGGTCAAGACATCGAGACCATCCTGGTCAACAAGGTGAAACCCTGTCTCTACTAAAAATACAAAAATTAGCTGGGCATGGTGGTGCACGCCTGTAGTCCCAGCTACTCAGGAGGCTGAGGCAGAATTGCTTGAACCAAGGAGGCGGAGGTTGCAGTGAGCTGAGATCGTGCTATTGTACTCCAGCCTGGGTAACAACAGCAAAACTCCGTCTCAAAAAAAAAATGGCACTCAAAGCAGAATAAATCTGTAGCTGAAAAATCTGACCTTTAACCCTGAATCTGCCTCTAATAAGCTGTGTGATCCAAAGCTAGTTAATAAGTCACTCTGAATCCAAGTTTCTTTATCAGCATTTGAACTTCATACTTGGGCTGCCTATCACACAGATTGTTGTGAGGTAGAATGGGATTAAGGAGCATTTGTTGTGAGCACTTTGGGAGGCTGAACTGGGTAGATTGCTTGAGTCAAGGAGTTTGAAACCAGCCTGGGTGACAAAAAAAACCTGTCTCTACAAAAGATACAAAAATTAGTCAGATGTGGTGGTGCACACCTGTAGTGCCAGATACTTGGGAGGCTGAGGAGGGAGGATCACCTGAGCCCAGGAGCTAAAGGTTGCAGTGAGCTGAGATTACACTACTGCATTCCAGTCTTCGCAGTGGAGTGAGACACTGTCTCAAAACAAAAGATAAATGGATGTCTAAACACTTCAAAGACAAAAGTTCTGTACAAATGTGAAGGAGTAGTTGTAACACTTATCGTAAATATCTCCAGAGAAACATAACTTAGGGCCCTTTAGAGGCAATGTAACTGTTTAAATATGAGTGAGAAAGAGAATTTCACTGGGGGAAAGGTATTAATTCAAGTTATCGCTTCTAGCATCCATCTCATAAACCATTTGAGACTCAGATGATTGTGTTATGGAAGCCACAAACCAAGGTGTGAAAGAAAATAAGAATTAGAATATGTCTTTAATTTGGACAGATAAAACCATTGCATCTGTAACTCTAGAGTGAGTTTGGTGTGTTGTTTTGTTGATTTTTGCTGTTGTTGCTGTGTTGTGTGGTGTGTGTGTGTGTGTGTGTTCTGTTTTTATCTTAGAAAGCGCTGATATAAAATACACAGTTCCTTTCGGGATCTGGGCATAACTATTTTTTTCTAAAAAAGGCCCTTGAGAGAACCAAATTTTCACAGAATTGCATAGCAATTCTCTAGTATATTTTTAAAGCATTCTATGAGGTAGGAAAAATCATCAACACACTGATTTCATATTCCACAAATGTGTAACCTCTGAGATTTCAAAGTCAGGGACTCTTTGTTTCCCACTGAATGAAGACTCAGATTGGGACAAATACGTGTTCCCAATTTAGCAGGGCCACCGTGACCACGAGCAGTTGCTTAACAACTGCACACACTTGTGCGTGACCTCCCAGGTTGCCAGGAGAGGTCCCCAGAAGGGCCAAAAGCAGAGTCAGAAACAAATAGATGAAGAAAACCAATTCTGAAATCAAGAGAGAACAAAACTAAACGGTGTTCCTCTTTCAAATTTCTTTAAGTCTCGGGAGAAATCAGAATATCTTCTGAGACCAAGTTCTTTGTGGTCTTTTGGCACTGAGGAATTAATCAAGTTTAAAACAAGCACACATTTCAATCTCCCATCTTCTCTCCTCTTTTCTTTCAGTATGAAACTCCTCAAGAGAAGACTCTACACACTAAACAGCTCACAGGTCGCCCAGGACCTTGAGATGGGGTCACCAAGTCCAGGGGTCTTTCATGAGTATTACTTGCCCTTTCTGTGGCATGCAACACTCCTGGCTGTTTCTTTTTCTGGAAATAGCTCCCCACCCTGACTCCTGTGGTACAACACATCCTGCCACACTGACCACCCTGCCTGCTGCACCTTCCCATCTCTTGTCCCTCTCCCAGTTCTGGAATAACAAAGTCTCCTGGATTCTCCTTCCAGCATCCTCCACGTCTGCACTCCCTCAGAGAGCTGAGCTCTTACGTGGCTCTGACCACCTGTATGGGATGACTTCCCACCAACCCCATCTTGAAGATGAAGCCTACATTTCCAATTCCCTACTCCATATTTCCGTTTCTGTCCCTCAGCACCTCATACCCAAGATGGGCCCCATCACTTTGCCCACAAAACAAGCTCCCATTTCTCATTTCCCTAGCATTATTATTCATCTCTTCCCATCAAAGCCATCCTTCTATTCCACCCACATTTGTAAGTTGCCCTGTCCCATTAATTGCTCAAGACTCATGTCCACTTCTTCCTTTGCATCCTCATGCAAAGATATTACAGTAATGTCCAGAGTGAATTCTTGCTGGCTGTATCTTCTGACTTACACAAAATTCTGCAGAACAAAACCAGATAGTTCTTCCTGAAGTAATATGTGAGTATCACAACCTGGCCCAAAGACTGTCAGTGCTTCCCCCTTTTCAAGTTCAGATTCCTAATCCCAATATCTAAGTTCTCCCTGATCCAGTCTTATCACCACTAGCATCCTAGAAGGTCACAATGTTCAGATGAGTTTCCATTTCTGGCTGCTTTCCTCAACTGTCCTTGCAGTTTCTCACTCCATCAAAAATGTGCTTATATTAGTTCTCACACTGCTAAAAAGAAATACCCAATATGGGATGATTTATAAAGAAAAGAGGTTTGATTGGCTCATTGTTCTACAGGCTGTATGGGAGGCATGATGCTGGCAACTGATTGGCTTTCTGGGGAAGCCTCAGGAAGCTTACAATCATTGTGGAAGGCAAAGCGGGGAGGAGCCAGGCAATTCCCATGCCCGGAGCAGGAGAAAGAGAAAGAGGGGAGGTACTACAAAATTTTAACCAACCAGATCTCAGGAGAACTCTATCATGGGAACAGCATCATCAAGGGGATGGTGCTAAACTGTTGATGAAGGATCCACCCCCACGATCTAATCACCTCCCACTAGGCCCCACCTCTAACACTGGGGTTACAATTTGACATGAGATCTGAGCAGGAACTAAGAGCCAAACCATATCAGCTCTTTTGACTCCTCCCCCCCCATCTCCACCTATTACAGTTATACCTTTCTTCAACATCTAGCTCAAACTATTTCGAGAAATCAGCGTGATACTTCTGATTTCTCCTGTCAAAAATGCATTGTATGCAAAAGCATTCTGCACCATTCTTGGAGCATTTACCATGGTCTGCACCAACAAAGTGCATATTTTATCTCCTCTGATAGATCCCAAGCCTTGTAAGAAGAGAGGCTGAGCAACATGGTTTTCTGAAGAACATGAACTTTGAAATCTAAATAACCAGGACATTTTTTCACTTTCTCTGGCTAAATTACTCTCTCTGGTTTTAATTCTCTTATCTGTAAAAAGAACCTATGGTAATTATTGTAAATTGATTTGCTTACCTCAGAGGTCAATAAACTATACCCTACAGGCTCCATCACTCATTTTAATTTAATTAACTAATTGATTTTTTTTTTTTTAGCGATTGGGTCTCACTCTGTTGCTCAGGCTGGAGCACTGTGACACAGCCAAGCTCACTCCTGCCTCAGCCTCCCAAAGTGCTGGGATTACAGATGTGAAACACTGTGCCTCGCCTGATTTTATAAATAAAGTTTTATTGGAACACAATATGCTCACTCACTTCTATAAGGTCCCTGGCTGCTTCCATATTTCAATGGTAAAGCTGGGGAGAGACTACATAGCTCATAAGACAAATATTTCTTATCTAGACCCTTACAAAATAAGACCCCTTCTCTAGCTCCATTTTACTCCCCTTTAAGGAGGTGAGGTAGTCTAGTTAAAGATATCTTCCAGGCTTCTCTGCATCTAGAGATTCAGGATTGAACTGGATTCCACTAATTAAATGTACTCACATGAGGAGTTCTGGAAGGTGGAAGTGAGATGAGGGTCATGTTTTGGCTTCTATTTGACTGTTCACTGCTGTCAAGGCAGGACGTGGAAATAGATGTCTTAACTACAGTAGTGTCCCGCATTCTTGCTTCACCTCTATGAGGGCCGAGAAACAGCTGCAGCCATGGTGGCTTTCCAATCGCAGCTGTTAGATGCCAGGGTGGCAGGTACGGGGATGTACTCTGACCTTGGTTCTATATTGTTCTGGGAATCTTTCCCTGGAGTGCCCTTCTAGGAATTTTGTAATGTGAAAGGATATCTTGGGTCCCCAAAATCACTAAGTGAAAGGGAAAATTCAAGCTGTGAACTGCTTAGGGCAATCCTGCCTCCCATTCTATTCAAAGTTAACCCTCTGCCCTCTGAGATAAATGCATATCTGATTGCCTCCTTTGGAAAGGCTAATCAGAAATGCAAAAGAGTGCAACTGTTTGTCTCTGTCCTACCTGTGACCTGGAAGCCCCCTCCCCACTTTGTCTTCCTGCCTTTGCTTCTAGTTGTCACATCTTTCCACACCAAACCAATGTACTTCTTACATATATTGATCGATGTCTCATGTCTCCCTAAAATGTATAAAACTAAGCTGTATCCCAACCTGCTTAAGCACATCCTCGGGTGCTCCTGAGGCTGTGTCACGGGCATACATCCTCAACCTTGGTAAAACAGACTTTCTACATTAACTGAGACCTGTCTCAGATTTTCTGGGTCCACAGTAAGCACCTAATTCACTCTAGAAATCCCTTCTTTAAATTTATAACCAAGTTTTCATGTCCTGTACTGAACCCTAACTGATACAGAGCCAAATTATAAATATCTAGTTGAGTTACTGAGAGATAAAATGGCAGTGTATGTCATAGTGCTTTATGAGCAGTAAAGCTATTGCTATCTATAAGTCTTTATCTCATTCCCAATACTCTGACCCCCGGCCTCTGACTCAGCACAGTGCCTCCAACCCTTGAAATGCTGATGCTTTTCACAGCAGAATCCCTGGCTCTCTTCCCTTCTCACTGCCTGAAAAATCTCCTCTCTCCTGGCTTCAGTAACCATATGCACCAAAGGTTAACCTGTTTGAGGACATGAGCATTTTTCTTTTTTAGACAGAGTTTCGCTCTTGTTACCCAGGCTGGAGTGCAATGGCGCAATCTCGGCTCACTGCAACCTCCGCCTCCTGGGTTCAGGCAATTCCCCTGCCTCAGCCTCCTGAGTAGCTGGGATTACCAGCATGCGCCACCATGCCCAGCTAATTTTTTGTATTTCTAGTAGAGACGGGGTTTCACCATGTTGACCAGGATGGTCTCGATGTCTTGACTTCGTGATCCACCTGCCTCGGCCTCCCAAAGTGCTGGGATTATAGGCGTGAGCCACCGCACCCGGCCGACATGAGCATTTTAAAAAGTTGATACAAAGCTATCTCTCCAGAACAATGCACATGCATTATGATTTTAATATACTTTCTGAAATTTATAAGGCTTCTTAATTTTATCTGTGTTCTTCTAGGCTATGAAGCCCTGACCCTCTATGCCAATGAGTGCCCAAACCTGATCACTCTCCCGAGGTGAAGACTGCTGTAGCAACTGCCCTCTGGACTTCCCACAGGCATCTCGAACTCACCATGTACAAATGAGAATTTAACCTTCCCACAGCTCCTTGTCTCATCTGATTTACCACATGACTAAGTGGTGTCTACATCCCCTGGAGGCCTGGGCATCATTCAGACATCTCTCCTTCCTTCCCCATAGACATTTAATTGCCAGGTTCTGACAATTCTGCATATCTAGTTGCTTCTGAATCTAGCCACCTCTCCATCTCAGGGATAATTTGTCCTGCTACCACCATCTCTCATCAAAATTGCTGCTGTTGTATGTAAATATTCAGTGCTGCAAAAGAAGTAGCACTGGAATATAAATTTCCTCAGCAAGGCAATTTACTTCTATAGAAGGGTACGGTTGACAGATGAAACTGGCAAGTGCACGCCTGAACAAGGGAGGGGGAGGGCGTTCTGATTCCTCACAGAGGTAGCCCCTACTGCTGTGTCGTTTCCCTATTGGCTAGCATTAGACCTTACCTACAGTCTAGTATAATTCCAGTTGGCTGTTTTAAGGGAAGCAGGGGTTTGAGCCAGAGTGGTGGGGTGGGTAGTTTGGTGGGAAGGACGGTTATGGGACAGGTCAGAGCAGGTAGCCAGGGGTGACCTAAGTCAAGGCAGGTGACCGAAGCAGGTGACTGGGATGAGTCAGGACGAAGCAGGGGACTGGGGGAATGGATGTGAACTACTGATTAGAACTGGTGGAAAATGTTGTTTACTGAAACTACAAGGAAGTTAAACTTTAAAATGGAGGACAAAGAACCGAACATACTGACATCCAGATTCTTTGAAGAGAAATGTGGAGTTCACTATGTCTAACACTGCAGTAGCCATCGAATGGCCTCTCCTCTTCCACTCTGTCCTCTCTAATCCATTTCCTGCAACTCAGACCAATCATATCAAACTTCATCACGTTAAAAACTACGAACTCTGTTTTTCTCACCATTCAGCTCTGCCCAGGCCCCCACCTTGAAATGGCTCCATGACACCCACCATATGAGCTAACATTTCCCAGAACTGCAATTCTTGTCACCCCCAAGGAGCACATGCTCCTCCCTCCCAGTGTCATCCTTCATCACCATTTTACTTCCTACTGCCACCCCCTACCTCCTACACTTTCCTACTGGCAGACTCCTCATCCTTCAGTTCTCAGCTTAGATATCACTTAATTCCCTTACTCATCAAATGTTTATTGACCCTCTGTTATATGTCAACCACTAGGCTAGGTCCAGACATAGAGCAATGAAAAGACAGTCACAGTCCCTGTCCTGAAAATGCCCAATTTTACTAGATATTAGATCAATAATGGCAAAACTGATGATTCCCCAGTAGAATTCAAGCAATTCTCCTGCCTCAGCCTCCCTAATAGCTGAGATTACAGGCATGTGCCACAGCTAATTTTTGTATTTTTAGTAGAAACGGGGTTTCACCATGTTGGCCAGGCTGCTCTTGAACTCTTGACTTCATGATCCGCCTGCCTCAGCCTCCCAACCATAAGTTCTTTTTACAGATGAGGAAATTAAAACCAGAGAGTCATTTAGCCAGGAAAAGTGAAAATATGTCCTGTTTATTTAGGTTTCAGTTTTCCCAGCCTCAGGCTGAGTCAAGATCTTGCCTTTCCCGGATCCCATAAATAACACCTGTGTTCCCCCAGCTCCACCCATTGCTGGTCAGAGGTCTCTCCCAATGACTAGACTACACACCTCTTACAGGCAGGACTGTGTCCTAGCACTTCATTTATCACTGACATCTACTAATGGATCTGATGCCCAGGAAGAAATGGATCTGATGCCATCATGTCTGAACGATGCTCTATTTACTTAATAAATTTCTTTTGATCAATAAAAACTCAGTCAACAAATATTAGCTAAAGAAGTCTTCAGCACTGCTTAGGAGTGGCCCAGTAAGGGGAATACAACTGGGGGAAACAACTGGTGTGTGGAGGTCCTCACTGTCGGCTTGTCTGGGGTTTGTCAGCGTCTCAGATCACAAGGAACATGCTTCTAACTAACACCTGACTTGCTCCCTGGATTTCATGGTAAGCAGCTGTTCCAGCAGCCCTTCTTGACTGCAGGATAAATACCTGCATGCTCAACACTGTACCTAATTAGAGGGATCCCCTGGCGACTCGGAAGGCCTCGGGAGGCCAGTCACCAAGCTGTGCCCTTGGTCACTGGAACTGAAATAACACAGAAGGTAGAAAGCACTCGGCAGCCAGGAGAGGCCCAGGAGCTCCACCAAGTGAGATCCTGGGAGCTTTGTCCAGACTCCCTGCTAGCCCAGCTCTGAATCTCTGTGTATAAATTACAGCCACATTTTCTTAATGTGTATGAAGCTGGTGCCTGATGGAGAGAAACAAAAACACAAGAAGTAAATATGCTCTGCTTTGGGAAAAATAATAAAGCAGTTTAGATAAAGGGTGACAGGATTTTTTGACTACATAAGAATACAAGTGAACATTCCTGGTGCAACTGCTGTGCGTCAGGGTCTAATCTCCTGATACGCATTAAATCATTTCATTCTCTCAACACCCCTATGAGGTGAGCACCATTATTATCTCCATTTGCAGAATAGGAAACGGAAGCCCAGGGAGATTAAGGAATCTCCCCGTGGCTGCCCTCAGCCAGTAAGTGACACAGCAGGACATAAACTGGGCAGCTTGACTCAAGAATGATCTTAGGCTTTCCACTTATGTTCCTCTGAGAGAGAGGCAATCACTTCCACCCTGCCAGGGGCCAGGCTCCAATGCCCACAGGGTCTGGCATGTGACGTCAAGCAGGACCGAGGACACATCCTCTATGTTCAGGGCCAGCCCATCAGTCTTGCCAATTATGGCCATGCAGTAACAAGGGCCTGGTGCTGCCAGATCTTATCTATCCAGAAGAAGGCATAATTCCAGATTTTTTTTTTAATTGGGGATGAGAAAAGGGAAGAATTATAGAGGGACTGAGAGGAACACCATAACAATAGTTTAGATGGGCCTATGAGGGAGAAGGGGTTTGGAGAGGAAAGACGGGGCATTCCATTTTGAAATGCTGAATTGCTGGTGCTGAAGACGAGAAGGCCTTGACTACTCAGGCATACAGATAAGAGATGGCTCTTTGGTGACTCTGTTATCAGGCCACCCTGCCTCAGCCCCCAGTCCCACATAGGACAGGGTCATCTAAAACATACCATCTTGCTAGTTGCAAGGACGGTGATTCCCAGGCTTGTGGTACTCTCCTGGGGCCACTGTAACAAAGCACCACCAACTGAGTGGCATAAGCAATAGAACTGTGTTGGCCCACACTCTGGAGGGTAGAAGCTGGGATCTGGGCATTGGCAGGCCCATGCCCACTCTGAAGGCTCTGGGGAAGGGTCCGTTCGGGCCTCTCTTCTACCTTCTGCCAGTTCCTTGGCTTGTGGCAGCATCCCTGTTCTCCCTGTGTGTGCCCAAATTTCCAGCGTGACACCAGTCAAACTGGAGGAGGAGTCCACCCTGCTTCGGCATGATATCATCTTTACTAATCACATCTGCAACAACTGTATTTCAAAACAATGTCACATTCTGAGACACGGGGGGATAGGATGTCAACATATAGACTGTGTGCAGGGGGACAAAATTCAATCCACAACGAGACTCTGAACAGTGGTTTCACGTCTTTCAGAGTCAGAATCCCTAAGAATAAGATTAAGGCATGTCACCGTTTACCTGTGGAAAAATGCTGTATTCGAGGAATCATGCAAGTCCTACAGGGAATATGAAAATGAAGTAGATCTCACTTCTCAAGGGCCTTCCAATAGAACGGGAGGAAAAAGACAACTGTATAAAAAGCTATCCTACAAGTAAGAAGGTTATGATTGACCTGAGAGTGCTATAAATAACCATAAAAATCAAATAAGAGGAGAGAAATTGCTTTTGTCTATAAGCATCAAAACTTCTTTGTTAGGTAGTACTTAACCTTGGTATTGAGAGAGGTCCAGAATTCTAACAGAGGGAGACTGGGGTTGGAGAAATCAAAGACACTCCAAGACACAAAGGAAAGAAAAGGAAAAGTATAAACTGTGTTTGGATCAGGTCTGTTTGCCCAGAGAACTGAGTGTGTACAGTGCAGTCATGTGATAAAAGACTAAACTATAGTTTGGGGTCAGTCTGTAGAACTCTGAATTGGCAGGATGAGTTTGGATATAAATTTGCAGGCAACTGGGGGTAACTTTGGTAGCCAATAAAAACAGTTCTTCTGTCCTAGAGCCTAAGATGCCTTCCAACTCTTCCTTTTCCCTATCAGAGACACTACCAATTTGATGGTACTCAAGCACCATGGAATAAAATGCAGCCATAAAAAACAATGAGTTCATATCCTTTGTAGGGACATGGATGAATCTGGAAACCATCATTCTCAGCAAACTGACACAAGAACAGAAAATCAAACACCGCATGTTCTCACTCATAGGTGGGAGTTGAACAATGAGAACACATGGACACAGGGAGGGGAGCATCACACACTGGGGTCTGTTGGGGGGCGCCTGGAGGAGGTACAGTGAGGGGTAGGGAATTGGGGAGGGATAACATGGGGAGTAATGCCATATATAGGTGATGGGGATGGAGGCAGCAAACCACATTGCCATGTATGTACCTAGCAACAATCCTGCATGTTCTGCACACGTACGCCAGAACCTAAAGTGCAGTAAACATATATATATTAAAAACAAAGAAAAAGAATATATCGGGGCAGACACCCTTTGTGCTCTTCTAATCCAATAAGCTTCAGAACTCTGATCTTCATAATAATGAGTTACGAAATTCTGGGTCAGATTCACTGTGACCCATTGATGCCAGTGTCATCTTGGACTCTAAGTGACCTCAAGATTTTCCATCCATGCTACCAGTGTTGATTTCAGTATATATCTTAAAGGCTGTAAGAAACCTGTCAGACTCAGTCAGTAGAAAAATCAAGCTTAAGGTCAAGGTGAAACCCAACTACTTATCAGCTGTATAAGCCAGAGCAAGCCACTTAACTTTTCTGTTAATTTCTTTATGTATAAAGTAGGGATAACGACAATATCTACGACACAAGATTATCATGAAGATCAAATGAAATAATATGAAACACAGCACCGTGGCTGGAATACAGTAAGGGATCATAGATAGTAACTGTTCATTTCACTATTATTACTATTACTATAAAAGTATGGGTCTACAATCCATTAATTCATCTAGACGCCATGAATACATTGGATAATGAATTCCATCTAAAAGCTTCTCTAAAAACATATTTTGTCAAAGTGTGTGCTGTTCATGGCAGTTAAGATGTGTTGCCATGGCCACAGCAAAGTAATAGTTCCAATTAAAGAACACAAATTCTAGTACTTAAAAGATGGAAACTAAAGGGACGAGTTCCTCAACAGGAATAAGCTGTCTCTTAAACCTTATCGTTTCTGGGAATTCTTTCAATTCCAGGAGTGTAGCTATGCTGTGTTAAAGAGAAATACTTTTCTGTTTAATTCTCTTCAATTGTAAAGACATTTCTTTAAAGTAAAAGGCCAGGTTCATAACACATTATGTAGCATTGACTGATATACCACAGAAGTCCCTTACATAAAAGCCTCCAAGAAATTAATAGAGAAGACAAAACGCTCTTATAGAACAACGTGGAAAGAACGTGGATGAGACACTCACCTTAGAAGAAATATAGAGGAGAAATATGCATAAGATAAAAACGATGAAGTTTGTTTCCCGTATTAAAGTACCGAAGGGTCAAGAGAGTCCATGTTATAGATGAGGGTGTAGAAACACAGCCCTGCCTTATACCATGCGACAAATATGACTTGGCCATATATATCAACCTGACAACAAATACCAGAACCTTAAAATGCACCCATTATTCTAATTCTAGAAATCTATCCAAGCAAATAGCTACTAGTGTGCCTATAAACACAATGAGTAGTTAAGAGCCTGGCTTCTAAAAATCAAACAAACTTAAATTTTGACGTTTCTATTTACTAACCATCTAATGCTGGGCAAATTACCTACCTGTTCTTTATCTGAGTTCCCTCCTCTGTTAAATGGAAAGAATAATACCCACACTGCACAGGGCTGTGTGCAGGTGTAAGTGAGCATGCAAGCAGACAAACCCAGCCATGCTGCAAGCACACAGTAAGGCCTCAAACAACGTGAACTAGTACTCAGACTGGTCTAGTAAATAATAAAATATCAGAAAAACAGAACACTATTTAGGCATTAAAGATGATATTCTAATGGGGCACAGTTGCTCATACCTGCAATCCCAGCACTTGGGGAGGCCGAGGCAGGAGGATCATCTGAGGTCAGGAGTTTGAGACCAGCCTGGCCAACATGGCGAAACTCTGTCTATTCTAAAAATACAAATAAAGTAGCTGAGCATGGTGGTACAGACCTACAGTCCCAGCTACTCAGGAGGCTAAGGCAGGAGAATCACTTGAACCTAGGAGGTGGACATTGCAGTGAGCCCAGATGATGCCACTGCACTCCAGCCTGGGCGACAGAGCAAGGCTCTGTCTCAAAATAAATAAATAAATAAATAAACTCTAGACAAGCATAACCAAACTATAGCCCAGCCCATGGGCCAAATGTGGCTCGTTGCCTGTTTTTGTAAAATTTTACTAGAACACAGGCATGCCCATTCATTTACACACTTTCTGTGACTGCTTCTGCATTATAACAGCAGAGTTGATTAGTTGAGACAGTAGGTCCCACAGAACCATGCAGCCCTTTAAACAAAGTCATCCAATCGCTGGTCTAGAGGAATACTGTCTGTCACAGAAAATATTCGCAATCTATTAAGTGAAAAGAAGTTTCCCCACAGCAAACACATTGTCTATTTCTGTTAAAATATGTACATAGAAAAAAATATAGAGAGAAGTAGGTACTTCAAAAGTTAAAACTCTCTGAGCAGGAGGTTGTTACATATTTTCTTTCTTCCTTCGGGCTTATCTATAATTTCTGAATTTTTCTTTTCTAATTAACATGAACCATTTCTAAAACAAGAAAAAGATTAAAAAAGGAAGAAACAAAGCAGCAAATAATCTGTTTTAATTGAGACACAGAGGGCAAATACCACATTCAATGGTAAAACAGAATGGAAAAGCTATTTTTCATTGGTGAGAGAAATATGGATTTGTCTGCTTGTCTGTTTTTCCTCATCTTCTCTCACAGATAGGAATGTGCAAGATGGGGAGAGAGGGAGGAAGAAAGCAAGGAAGGGAACGTGATAGCAGAACTGTCACATGATGTGGACAACTGCCAAGCTCAATAGTTCCTGAGATAAGTAACTTTACAAGGTTTAGAAGCAATAACCAATTTTTGAACCTCAGAGTTACATGATCCACCCAATATAAGGATAAGCCACATGGCACAGAATCTCATCTGAGAAAGATAACAGGCTATGTCTCAGGAATGCTTAATCCACAGGTCTGTCCTTCACATTTATTTATCACCCACTTGGTGCCAAGCATTGACAATATCCTAGGGAGACAAACAGAAAATGTAATTTTTTTTAACGTGGCATTGGATTCACATGGCACGTCATTTTCATATGGCATCAAGTGGCAAGTGATAGTGCCTCTCAAGGAGAATCAGGTTCAGGTTGTGCCCTAGACACTAACCGTGTGAAGGATGCCACACCAAGCACTGAAGCTCAGAGGACAAGCAAGAAGCTGTGTCCTACCTGTTATGTTTGCGGTAAGTGAGGAAGATTCAGAGATGCCTTTTTGGTAGCTGGATATAGGCATTTGGAGTTTGGAGCGAGGATAGCAACTTGGGATCTTCAACTCAGCATGCAGAGAGGAGGAGATGGCTCCTGGACAGCATATGGAAGAGAAGGGGCCAAGGTTTCATGGGGTGGCCAGAGGAAGCTGCCCCAGGAATGAAGACTAAAAAGGAATATGCAGAGATTGGGGTAAAACCAAGACAGAATGCTTATGAAATGTGCCCAGGAATGATCCTCTCTACTACTTAAAATTTGCTTATAATGAGCTGTTTCAATATATCCCTCGGCAGCTATAAGCTGCTGTCCTGATTAATAACATATTCCCATGTGCCAAAGGAGACAAACCTTTGAAGATGTGTTTCTCAGAAACTTTCAGCCTTTTTCTGAGCAGAACACATAAATTCTGGCCTTCCTCATTTGGAACCATGTGGGAAGCGGAACCATGAATGGGGATCTGCTTTTGGTTCGGGGCTTTCTATGGTTTAGATATGGTTTATTTTTTTTTTTGTTTGTCTCCACAAATATGTTGAAATTCACTCCCCACTGTGGTATCAGAAGGTGGGGCCTAGGGGAAGGTGTTTGAGCTATGGGGGTAGATCCCGCAGGAATGATTTAGTGCTGTGCTGCTATTCTCACTCTGGCAAGATGGGATTAGATTGAGTTATTATTACGTAAAGCCAGGAAGCCCTCTGGGTATGGTATCTCTTCACGTGGCCTCACTTCTCCTTTGACCTTCTCTGCCATGTTCATGCCAGGGCCATGCTTGTCGTACAGCCTGCAGAACTGCGAGCTAAAGAACCCTCTCTTCTTTACAAACTCTCTTTTCTTTATGCCCAGTGTCAGGTATTCCTTTATAGCAACACAAAATGGACTAAGATAGGACTGAAACTCAAGCAATGGATGTGTGATAGGGAAGAGAAAGCTACACTGTATTCAGCAGAGTCACAATTGTAAAGTAATACCAAAAAACACATCTCCAACATGAAATTGGTCTCTGGAGGTCAGCTGATGACCTGAGGTTCACTGAGGATAAACTTAATAACCATACTGCTGAGGGTCTATCACAGGCTCTTTTACGGTAAGTGTGCATGATGCAGCTCCATTCCTGAAGGCCTGGCCCATGGGAAGTAGTGTATAGGCACCAGAGCCCAGGTCAGGAGGTCTGGCTCTGCCCCTAAAAGCTGGTTGAGCCTAGACAGGCCTCTGAGCTTTAGTTTCCTCATTTACAAAGCAAAGATGGATTATGTCTGCCTTATGCTTTTCACAGGCCTTTTACAAATATAGCATACAGGATGGAAAGTGCTAGAAGAAACTATAAAATGGAAGTTGATATTATCCCAGAACACGGTAACTCGGTGATTAGAGCATCTTGCCTATGAGGTTGATAGCTCTGGCATCCCAGAGAAAAGATCAGAAGTAAGCAGCTCCCCAGGTGGTTGTCTTGCTCCTTCCAGGTCTTGTGAAAAGAGCGTGGTCTGTGAAGGAGAGACAGCCTAACCTGCTACTCGGGATTCCCACTTACAGGGGAGCCCCAGGCACGGGTTTACCCGGCATAAGCTCCTTTCTTCACATGCGGCGTGAGAATAACAATGATTTTACAGCAGTGCTGCCAGTGTGAGCAACTCGTGTGCCCAAAGCACTGGCCCAATGCCTGGCACAAAGTGGGTCCTGCAGAAATGACAGCCATTTGGACACTGCATCTGAGACGGAGGTAGCCAGCCAGCAAGTAGAATATCCTAGTGGGATATTTCAGAACACCCAGCTCAACACTTCCAGCAGCTCAATATGCCTGTTTTTTATTTAAAAAACAAACAAAAATATCATCAACAATGTACTGGCAGAAATTATGTGACCCCTCAGTGAAGGAACCATATTCTCTGAGGGGTGAATGGCAGGTCTTGTGTATTTTTTGCAGAACAGGAATGTACACTGGTTTCTAATTTATCTTGTATGCCCCCTCCCCAGTTAGACCCTCCTTGGGTTCCTGGAAATGAATCTACACCACATGGAATCACTGGGTCTTGGTTCCTATGGAAATATTGTCCCAACAAGGACATTTGCCGATGCTTTTTCAGTCTCTTTTAAATCTCCTGAAACAGAAGCTGCAAACTTCTCTGTAGAAAGCCAGTTAGTAAATATTTTAGGCTTCACCGGTCATACGGACAGTCTCTGTCACCACCACTCAACTCCTCCGTGGTAGCTCAAAAAAAAAGCCACAGATAATTCATAAACAAATGATGTGGCTGTGTTTCAATAAAACTTGATATACAGGCACTGAAATTTGGATTTCACATAAATTTCACATGTCACGAAATACAGCTTCTCTTTTGAAGTTTTCAACCATTCCAAAATGCAGAAACCATCCTGAGGCTCAAGGGAACAAAGGTCTGGGGACAAATTAGGCCCAAGGACAAGTCATTTGCTGACGACTGTCCTAAAGCTGTAACATATCATCACCCACAGAAGACTCTGTTTCAACTACTGACCCCTCCCTTCCCAGCAACATAGTTAAGTTAGGACAGTCATAACTCCCTTCAGAAAGGACATGCTCACTCCCTGCTCGCTCACTGACAGTCAGGCTTTCTCATCTGTTTCCTTGACTAGCTCCTCATAGGGGCTCATCTACCTTGAGTCATGTTAGCACCCAGGGTCAGACTCTTCCCTGGCAGATTGGCCACCAACGCTATCCCTTGTGTGCCTTTTGTCAGCCACTGAATGTCACAACTCTAGACCAGAACACGGAAAATGGTGGAAAGAGAGGCCTTGGCAGAGTCAACAAGTAGATTGTCACGTCTCTCAAGCCAAGGGAAATGCGCTTTGCCAGCACTTTCTCTCACTGTTTGAGGAAAAGCACATAAAGTCTTCTACTGTGCCAGCTACACAGCCATGAGAAGGTTATCTATTCACCTTCTCATTGCATTGTTTAGTATTGTAATTAATAAAATACAGGCCAAGCATGGTGGCTCATGCCTATAATTTCAGAGCGCTGGGAGGCCACAGTGGGAGGATATACTTAAGCCCAAGAGTTTGAGGCCAGCCTGGGCAGCACAGTGAGACCCTGTTTCTACAAAAAACTTTAAAAATTAGCCAGGTGTGGTGGTCCATGCCTATAGTCACAGCTATGGCAAGGCTGAGAAGGGAGGATCACTTGAATCTGGAGGTCAAGGCTGCAGTGAGCCAAGATCACAGCACTGCTGTACTCCAGCCTGGGGGACAGAGTGAGACTCTGTCTCAAAAAAGAAAAAAATATATGTAAAATAATTGGAGACAAATAATCCTATAAGGAAGCCATACTGGATGGGACTACAGTAAACAAGGCATTCCGTTGTTCATTTTGAATGCATCTGCTCAGTAATTTCTCCTGGAGAGTAGGGGCTTGTTTGTGCCCTGAGTGGGGCCTGATAGGAGCAGGCAGTGTGCAGGGAGTGAAGGAGCAACCACTAAGCAAGGAGTGAAGGTCTTTAACTGAGCCATCCTCCCATCCACACTGCCAGTCTCTGAACCTTTTCTGCCTGCCAATGAACTTCAGCCAATACAAACACATCCCAGACTTAGTTTAGATGGCCACATATCAACCATCACAAATACAGGAAGGAAAAACAAAACTTCAGCATATCCCCTCCCTAGCTATGAAAAAGACAAAATTCCAAAATTATTTTCCTTTCCTAAGACAGCGTGGTAAGTAGAAGAGCAGCCCTCCAAAGATGTCCACACCCTAATCCCACAAACCTGTTATCTGCCTTGGCAAAAGAGACTCTGCAGGTGTGACTAAGTTAAGGTCTTTGAGATGGGGAGGTACTCTTGGATTATGTGTGTGGGCTCCATGTAATCCCAGGGGTCCTATAAGAGAGAGAAAGGAGGGTCAGGGTCAGAGAAGGAGATATGATGCCAAGAGCTGAGGTCAGAGTGATGTGGGGCTGTGACTCAGGGAATGCAGGCAGCCTCTAGAAGCTGGAAAAGGGGGGAAAATGAATTCTAGAGCCCCCAGAGGGTAGACAGCTCAGCCAAATCCTTTTACACCCCTGATCTCGAGAGCTGTAAGAAAATAAATTTGTGGGCTTTTCTGTTCTTTTTTTGTTTGTTTATTTTTGAGACAGGGTCTCAATCTGTCGCCCAGAATGGAGTACAGTGGCACAATCATGGCACACTGCAGCCTTGACCTCCCCAGGCTTGGGTGATCCTCCCACTTCAGCCTCCCAAGTGGCTGAGATGACAGGTGTGCAACGCCACACCCAGATAATTTTTGTGTTTTTTCTTAATAGAGATGGGGTCTTACCATGTTGGCCAGGCTGGTCTTGAACTCCTGAGCTCAAGCAATCTTCCCATCTCAGCCTCCTGAAGTGCTGGAATCACAGGCATGCACCACTATGCCCAGCCTTTTGTTTTGTGCTAAGCTACTAAATTTGTGGTAATTTGTTATGGCAGCAATAGGAAACTAATCCAGGCAGCTGCTCAAAGCGTTACAGACAAAGAGAAAGTGTAGTTTCTAATAAGTTAGCCACTGAACCTCATTACATCTAACCCTGAAGAATGGTTTACTCCTCTTTCATGCAGGGTCCCTAGGCTCCAAAACTACTGAACGTTTAAATAAAGTGAGGCATGAAATGGAAGGTTGAAAGGGGTGAGTGGGCAGTTCGAGAACACTGTAGTCATATACAAAAAGATTACCCAAGAGGACTGCAAAGGATGAGATAGAAATGGAATGTGACTTATTTATAGCAAAGCCTGCCTCCCCTCTCAAGTGTGTGACAGAAGAGCCGTTTTAAAGTTCTATTCTTCCAACTTGGCTGCAGAACTTGGCTGCTTCTCAGAACTGTGCTTTTGTATTTAGCTTTAAAATATAAGAAGCAACCCCATGGTTAAACTGCAGGCAGGGGTGGTGCAGGGAAGAAAAAATGCTGTGGGGAGTGGAAGGAGGTTGAAATATGATTCTTATTTAGTTAGTTGCTTAAGAAAAACAAATAGAGAATAAAATAGCAAACGTCTTGGAAAGGTTTCAAGTCGAACATTTCTGAATACCCCTGGCATCGACAAAGCTCTCAGGATCAGGGTGGTGTTGCAAAGCCAGGCAGACAGGAGAATAGGGCTGTGGTCTAGAGGTGAAGAAATACTGGCCCTGATTGTCAGAAATCCCCTTCTCTCTCTCTGTAGTTCAACGATATAGAACTTTTACAACAACCCAAGAATCCCAGTCTATATGCACCAAAATCAATATTGACCTTCAAGAAAACCATATATATAATAGGAGTTGTAACACAGGTCATGTATTTTGATCCAGGAATTTTTTGCTGTTAATGACAAACCCTAAATAAGTAAATTTGCTGTTAATGACAAACCCTAAATCAGCAAATTATGGTACTTAGCCACTTAGAATATTATTCCCGCAATCAGAAATGATGAGTTTGTGTCGTTTGTAGGGACATGGATGAATCTGGAGAACATCATCCTCAGCAAACTGACACAAGAACAGAAAATGAAACACCGCATATTCTCACTCATAGGCGGGTGATGAAAAATGAGAACACATGGACACAGAAAGGGGAGTACTAAACACTGGGGTCTATTGGGGGGAAAAGGGGAGGGCCAGTGGGAGGGGGAGGTGGGGAGGGATAGCCTGGGGAGAAAAGCCAAATGTGGGTGAAGGGGAGAAGAAAAGAAAGCACACTGCCATGTGTGTACCTACGCAACTGTCTTGTATGCTCTGCTCATGTACCCCAAAACCTATAATCCAATAAAAAATTAAAAAAAAAAAAAAAAAGATTATTATTCCCCCTTTAAAACTAGATAATGATGACATATTATGGCACAGATTAGTGCTTAGGCTAGAGAAGCACAAAATCGCACATACCCATTAGCTTAACGTGTGATTACCCACTTGGTTCATGTGTTACGTGTGCTACTGATGCAAATTATAAGACTGGAAGGAACAGACCAAAATGTTAACTTTAGTCATATTTGCATGATAGGAATATGTGAAATTTTTTTCTCTATGCTTTGATCCTTTTGAAATTGAATTATTACTTTTTAAATGGAAAATAATTATTTCTGAACAGGAATGAAAAAAAGATAAATTGGCAGAAAGCTCAGCTTTACCCATACCTTACCATGTGAGCCGCAGAGTTAAAAATGTTTGTTTTCTTGCTTCAAGGTCTCCATGTGAAGAATGAGGCTATAATTATATAAAGCACATCTCTTATATGCAGTATTATAAAATATATGTTCTCCTAAATATATCTGATACTTTCTTATCATACCTTGGTTCACATAGCTCCCATCACCTGGAATCATTTTGTTGACTCTTTTCCACCGGGCCAACCCTTTCTTAAAAATACAATTCAGATCATTTCTCTTCAAATCTCTTCTTCCTCAATAAGCCTTCCTTGTCCTGTTTGTTCATTTGTTTGTTTTGAGACAGTCTCACTACATTGCACAGGTTGGTCTCGAACTCCTGGGCTCAAGGGATCCACCCACTTCAGCCTCCTCAGTAGCTGGGACTACAATTGCATGCTACCACACCCAGCTCTCACTCTAACTCTCTTAGGATTAATTTCAAACAGCTTTAAGATTTTATTTTACATAATTCAGTTTCTTCCCCAAAACCACAGGCTTTAGAACACAGCAAATCTAGATTCAAATCCTGATAGCACCACTTAATATTAGTTATTTATTCCTACTGATCTTCAGTTCCCTTATCTGTAATATAAGGTGAACACCACCAATCTAGCAAGCTACTCTGATGATTATGTGGTTCAATATATGTACAGCACTCACTGCAGTATCTGGTACATGGTAGGCGGCCAACCAAAGCTTATCTTCTGCCTGAATTCTGCATCACTCTTTGTCTCCCCAGTTGGACAGTAAAGTTGTCTAGGACAGAGACTGTGTGCTGTGCTACCTTTTAGACCCCCCCAGTGCTTTGTGAGAAGCAACAGCTCCATAAGTGCACCACATGTTGATTTAATCTTTGCAAAGAGCAGTAAGTTTCACACAGTGATAAGCTAGAAATTGTGGGTTGAGTTGCATCTGTCAAAAAGGTATTTTGTAGTCCTAACCCCTGGGACTTGTGTATGTAAGTTCATTTGGAAATGAGGGTCTTTACAGATGTAATTCATTAAGATGAGGTCATAATGGATTGGGGGTAGGAGGATGGAGGTCCAACTTCCACAACTGGTATCCTTATAAGGCCACGTAAAGACACAGAGGTAGACACATGAGGAAGGTGAGGTAGGACAAAGGTGAAGACCAGGGTGATGCTTGCCACCAAAAATCCTGCAACCACAAAAAGCCAGGAAGAGGCAAGAAAGAGGTCTTCCCTTAGCCTTTAAAGTGAGCATAGCCCAGCCATGCCTTGATTTCAGTACTACCCTTCTGAACTGTGACAGGATAGATTCTTGTCGTCTTAAGCCACACAGTTTGTGGAGCTTTGTTATAGCACCTTAGGAAACTAATACAGAAATGTTCAAAAGTGTCATACTGACAGATACAAGCTACTTCCTGCTTTCTAAACTGAAGAGGTCTCTGGAGTCACAGGAAGTTTTCCTCCAGGTAAAGCTTCTTTTTGGGTCCATTGCATATTTCAAGGTATCTGCCTGGATTTATTTCCCTCTGTCTAGAGTTTTACATAACTAGGTTGTGGTGAATATCATTCTGTTGCTGTGGTGACTTTAGGCTCCAGTGTCACTCCCCCTCTACTTATCCTAGTGACTGGACATCCAGATGCCTAGACCAGATCCTGGCCATTAGCTTTGAATCCTCCGCTCTCATCTCTATCTAAAGCTAACCACAGGTTAATTCTACTTTTTAAATACACTGAAAGTTTTACTTTTCTTCACCTCTACCTAGACCACAAAGAAACTCAGGATATGTCTTTTCTAAAACATTTTAAGAGCAAACCAAGGCTATAAAAGATGGATCCATCTTCTTTCAAAGCCAATGCTCTGTGGTTCTACTTCTGGCAATGGCTAACTAGATGTTTTAGAATCACCCTCCTGCTGAGAGCAACTGGAAATACTAAAAACAGTTTGTTAAACATGTTTGAAAGCATTGGAAAGCAATCAAGACAGTAAGAATTTGTGAGGCCATGACCTGAAGAAAGAAAACTAAGAAGATGAGCCCAGCAACTGGAGCTGCCTGTTCCTCTCAAGAGCATTGTCAATTTCTTAAGCAAAAAGTATGACCAAGAAGTCAGGAGAGCTTCTGGCAGTGTCATGGAGTTTAAGGAAAAAAATTAGAGGTCAGAGTCCTCCAAAGAGGAGGGGCCTGAATGAACACCCAGGGTTCTGGTTGGAACCAGAAGGGTTCTCTACAAAGAGTAAAGGTCATCTAGAGACATATCTAGCCCTAACAAAAACTGAAGTCCAGCTACAAGTAGTCTTTGCGTCTAACTTGATTAAGGTAATCCACTCCTATTTTGACAGACATAAAAGAAAAAATACTTAAGTATTTTTAATATTTAAGTTCTCTCAGAAGTAACATAATATTCTCCTAGAGCCGAAAATGACTTCTTCAATATTATTTGTATAATGCTCAGAACTTAATAAAAATAAACAGAAATGCAAAAAGATTAAAAAGCATAGTAGAAACAGTCCAGCAAGTGATAAAGACTTTAAAGTATCAGATATAAACTTTGAAACAATTATGATTAATATGTTTACAAATTAAATGACAAAATAGAGAAGTTTAGCAGAAAACTTAAGAACTATAAAAAGAAATTAAATGAAAATTTTAGAACTTAAACATCAATAACTAAGATTACAAATTCAATGGGATGGCTTTAACCACAAATTAATATGTTGAAGAGAGAACTAGTGAACTGGAAGATAAGTCAATAGAAAATACGCAAGTTGAAACACAAAATGACAAAGGAATAAAAAATACAGAAAAGAGCATAAGAAACATATGAAATCTAGATGAAAAAATGTCGTAACATATGAACACAATCCCAAGAAGAGAGAAAAGAGAAAACTAGGCATAAACAATATCTGAAAAGTTAATGGTTAAGAATTTCCAAGCACTAATCAAATAAAAAGTCTTATTTATTCTCCTTAGAGCTTATAAAACAGAAAATCGCACACCTCATAAAGAAACTGCTAAAACCAAAGTGAAATAAATCTTAAAAGCAGCCAAAGGAAAAAACAGATTGCATTCAAAGGAGCAATAATAAAACTTTCAGCTAACTGCCCAAGAGAAACAATGAAAGCCAAGAGACAATGACAGTTACGAAAAATAAAGTAACGATAATATAGAATTCTAAATCTAGAAAAAACACCCCTCACAAAATGAAGATAAAACAAAGACTTTCTTTTTTTCTTTGAATCCGTGTATCACTCTGTTGCCCAGGCTGGAGTTAGGTGGCACAACCGTGACTCACTGCAGCCTTGACCTCCCAGGCTCAAGTGATTCTCCCACTTCTGTCTCCTGACTATTTGGGACTACAGGAATGCACCACCACATTCAGCTAATTTTTTTAAATTTTCTTTTTGTAGAGACGTTGTCTCCCTATGTTGCCCAGACTGGTCTCAAATTCTTGGGCTCAACTGATCCTCCTGCCTCGGCCTTCGAAGTGCTAGAATTACAGGCATAAGCCAACATGCCTGGCCCAAAGACATCTTAGACTAACAAAGACAGAAAATTTATCTTCAGCAGTCCTGCACTAAAGAAAATACTACAAAATATTTCAGATATAAGCACAGAGATGCAGAAAATAATAAAGAGCAATGGAAAAAAACCACTTTTGAGTAAACTTACATGACCATCATATTTAACAAACAGGACAAACATTTGATTTTAAAAAAAGAAAAAATCTTGTAGGGTTTTGAAAATAAAAAATATTCTCCCTAACCATATTCCAGGATGTCAGTCGCCATCTCCCTTTCAAGACAATTATTAGGTCGACCAGAACAGAAATCCAGTAAACTAACAATGAGATCATCCCAAATGTGAATCCTATCCCCTAAAGTTAGTTTCCTTTCAATGGATATTTGATTTCTTTCAAATCTTAGGATACTATTTACCAGAAAGATATCACTATTCTTTTGGAGTGGATGTCTGTATCTATCTATCTGTATCTATCTATCTATCTATCTATCTATCTATGTCTTTGCATATTCTTTCCTTAAGTTTTTAGAATAGAGAATGCTGATTTTAATAAATGAGTCCATGTTCTGTTCTGATCTGTATTAGCAAACTAACAGAACTTTTAAAAGCCATCCTCCTATCCTCCAATAGTTTTAAAATATATTTATTTTTCTTTCACAGATACCTATTTGCTTTTAGTTTTTCTTGTTCAAAATCCTGCCAATAGGGAATTTACAGCCATTCAGGTTCTCCATAGCAAAAGAATACTGCAAAGGAGCGTGAGTAACAAGATGATCAACTGCTTGCCAAAATGAAAAGTCCTAGACTCCTTGAAATGAAATGAGAGGGAAAAATTGGAAAGATGAAATGAAGACTTAAACACACCAAAGGCTTTTCAAATTAGAAAGTTATACTCATTGAAATGCATCGTATTAAACCACACTGAGCTATTCCCCACACTAAAAATACCACCCCTTTCATCTGTGGACACCGATACCACTGGTCTGGGACTTGCCTGCCTGCCTGTCTCCTATCAACCAAGATAATGTTATGGGGAAGCTTTTCTTCCAGCAAGTCTAATCCTGGGGGAAAAGGAAAACAGAACAGTTTTTTCCTAAGGCAATAAAAAAGCTTCAAAACACTTAATGAAAGGATTCTTAAAATACAGACTGAACAATTAAATTAGTTACCCTGAACACTTTCTGAAGTTAGTCCTTGAGAATTTTCTATTTTATTTTATTTTTTTAAGAAAGAGTCTTACTCTGTCACCCAGGCTGGAGTGCAGTGGCACCATCTCGGCTCACATAGCCTCCACCTCCCAGGTTCAAGTGATTCTCCTGTCTCAGCCTCCTGACTAGCTAGGATCACAGATGCCTGCCAATATGCCTGGCTAATTTTTGTATTTTTAGTAGAGACAGCATTTTGCCATGTTGGCCAAGCTTATCTCGAACACCTGACCTCAGGTGATCTGCCTGCCTTGGCCTTCTAAAGTGCTGGGATTACATGTGTGAGCCACCACACCCGGCCAAGAATTTTATTTAATGTTTAAAAAAAAAAAAAGAGTGGAGGAAAAAAACAGGCCCTAAGTGCTCAAGAGCAAAAGCCATTTGTTTTTAACATTCTGACTTACCTATTTTCAAAGTTTTGGCTGGGTTCTTTTTTTTTTAAAGAAACTTAAAAATAAAGTGAAGGAGGCTATGAAATAATACAAATCATAAAATGTGGGTTTCTCAATTTTAGATTCTGAAAAACCTAGAATGTTAGAACTAAAGAATGCTTTTGAGATCACCCTGCATAGCTAACCCCTCACTTCACAAACTAAAGAACCAGACTTAATAAAAGGTAGGAACAACTTGTGCATGGCCAGAGGTGAACTAGTGGGGCAGCCAGAATAAATACCCAGATATCCTGGTCCATTTCCAGACTCTTTCCCGGGCTCTCTCAATTTATCTGCATACAGCGAAGAGTGGAGCAGGCAATCCAGTTCTACAGGTATTTGCTTCAAAACTTCATCCCAGGAGACTTTCTGAGAACACACACACAGCCTAGGGAAAAGACTCCTTCTCATTGCTCCTCATTATTCTCAAATTCTCCTTACGACTTCTCAGCCACCAAATCCTGTTGCTTTAACCTCCTGAACATTGCTCAAACACACCCTCTCCTCTGTATTATCACTGCCACTGATTTGTACATCACTTTTCCTCACCTGGATTCCTGTAAAATCTCTAAACTGTCCTCCCCCTCCAATCCTACCACTTCCCCAACACTCTCCCCCTACACTGAACCGCTCCGCATTGCTCACCCATTGACGTCCACACTAAATCTTCTCCACACTGACGTCCCCACTTCAAATGCCATTCTCCACTTTGAACAAATGACTCCCCTACTTCAAACCTTTCAGGAAGAATTCCCTTATCAAGAAACACAAAGTCTCAATGGCTTCCCTTTGCTTGTGGGATAATACGTGCAGTCGTTAGGGTCTTATTGGTAAACAGATGATACACAGAGGACGATTTAAGGAAAATGTATTTTCAAAAGATCCAAGTTTAAAGAAGTTCCAGGGTGCGGGTAAATTATAAGGAAACACTCAGAAACCCCTGGCTAGTAGAAGCAGAGCTGTGTGGTGGTTGCTTTCCAAAACGGCCCACAAAGATACTCTGAATTCTGGATCCTGGTATTCACATCCTTGTGTAAATCCCTCCCCTTGGATGAGGGCTGGACCTAGTGACTTCTCACTACCAAAAGGGATGGGATAATATGTCCAAAATTAGTTATAAAACACTAGGACTCCTACCACTCACCTCCTCTCTTTGCCTGTTCTTGTTACTCTTATTAAACAAACAAAAAAAAGCCGCCATGTTGTAAGCTGCCCTACAGAGACACATGTAGTAAAGAACTAAGAATGGCCTCTGGCAAGCAGCCAATGAGGAACCAAGTCCACCATTCCAACAGCCCTTAAGGAACTGAATCCGGCCGATAGTCACGTAAGTGAGCTCGGGAGTAGACTTTTCCCCAGCTCAGACTTCAGACAAAACCACCATCCCAACCAACATCTTGATTACAGCCTCTTAAAAGACACTGTGCTGGATAACTCACCTAATCTGTACTTGGATTACCTACCCACAGGAACTGTGACATAATAAATATTTCTAATCCATTGAGTTTTGAGATAATTTGTTACACAGCAACAGGTGACAAATATAAACTGGAATCACCGCAAGGCCCAAAAGGATGAGTAGAGGAAGAAGATGTCAGGACACAGAAGAGGGAAGTAGTCTGCCTCGAGAGAATCAATAAACTTCAGTAGAGGGATATGGCCAGTGCAAGGTTTTGCAGAGTGAGACCCAGGAGAAGAAATTCTCTGACATTGCTCTTCTCCTTCCCTCCCATGTCTTTCCAGACGTCCACTAACCAAACCCAACCGAAACCCAGAGGTCACAGGAGCGCTGTAAATGTAGTCCTCACAGCTCAGCCTCTGGGACAGAGAGCAGCATGCAAAGGAGTTGAACATGGGTGTGGAGGCACAAAGGGAAGATACCTGTATAATCTCGAAACTCCTTGGCATGAAACGTAAGGTCTTTTGTGATCTGGCCCTAACCTACATATCTAGCTTGATTCCTCAACCTTTAATCATGGAAACCTAGCTCCATGATAACAACCACTTGAAGTCTCCAGTACTCAGTATATGACATCACAAATCTGCCCTTTTACATGCGCTAGTCCTGCCTCTTACACCTTCTCCCTCCTTCTCCATCTGGTTAATTCCTAGTCATCTTTCAAGAATTGAAACAAGTGCCAAATCCTCTGGATGTCTTCTATGACATCATCATCCCCTCTACTGGGATGGACTACATGACCCTTCCTCCTCCTCCCATGCTCCTTAGTTGCCTCTACCAACACTGTAACTGTCTAGTTCCCCATCTCTCCCCAGCTGG